GTATATTTTGCTGATTGTTGAAAGTGGCGACGAATCTGCAAAATTACTAGCAGATGTAGAAAATCATTGTTATGATTAGATATGAAACACATATGTTTCTACTTTACGTTCAATAAGACTGTTTCATTTGTAAACTCGGGGAGCAAAGTGCAAATAACGCAACGTCCTATTATTACTCTGCTGTAAGTGTGTGAAAGGGCACATGCATGCAGCAGCTCCTGCTGCTGGATTTGGGTGTTTGAGTCTGGTAAAAAATTTTGCTTAACTTGCTTTATTTTTCTGTGTTCCTTTCTACAGGTCTTGGAAAAGAATATGCACTGGCCTTCGCTTCAAGAGGAGCCTCTGTAGTTGGTAAATAATGAATTGCATCTAAACTCATTGCCAGATTTTCAGAATAAAAGCCCTGCAAGCTTTGCACTCTGTTGACATGAAAGTAAACGTTACTATCGAGGGTTTCCGTGATCCTGTTTAATCAGTTAGTTGTATTGCTTATGATGATGTATAAAAGCAATATTCTTAAAGAGGTTCTATTATAAAAAAAAAACTTTTTTGAGCTTCATATCATGTTAAAGTATTATTTCATCATCCAAAACTTTGTTTCACAAGTTTAGTTCTGAATAAATTATGTGTGTGTGGAGGTACACTTATGTAGATAAGCTGTACCGTATAATATTTTCACCTGTGGTTGTCGGCAAAAATAAATGCTGCCTTTAATATTGACTTTGAATGTTGCTCTCATCTCTGACGAAGAATCTCCTTTAGTTCAATTTTTCCTTAGGGTTATCTATTTTGGAGAACTGCACAATTTGTGCTGTGTTGCTAATCTTTGTCTTCTTTTTTTGCAATAAAGTGAATGACCTTGGGGTAGACACAAAAGGGGGTGGAAGAAGTTCTGCAGCTGCTGATAAGGTGGTAGAGGAGATAAGAGCAAAGGGGGGCAAAGCTGTGGCAAACTATGGTGAGAAACACGACCTTCCCACTATTAAATGTAGTTAGTATGTTGTTTACCTGATAGCAGATAGAATAACTGTACGACTTAGTGAGTTTTGATAATGACAGAACTCCGTATTATTTTCTTTGTGCTTCTTTTGTTTGAAAAATTAGATCTTGTACAGAAACAAGGCTTCCATGTGTGTTACTAGTATTTTTTTTTACAAATATGAGATTTGTTGTGGGGTGACTAATCAGCTAACTAAATGCCAGATTGTTGCTGTTGTAGTCAAAAACAGAGTAAAGTAAAGCTTTTTCTGTTTGTTTTTGCTATGTATTTTGAACTCTTCCTTTCGTTTCTCTTTGAAAATGCAGAAATATCTGAACTAATATAATCAAGTCTTAAAATCTGCTATATTTTTTTTTGTCTACATAGATTCTGTTGAAGATGGAGAGAAGCTGATCCAGAGTGCCCTTGATGCCTTTGGAAGAATTGGTTTGTTTTTAATTTTGGAAAGCTGTAATCAGTAAATGATTTTTACTGGTGGTTTTTCTAGAATTTATTTTGGTAATATTCTTCTTTTTCAGATGTTGTTGTGAACAATGCTGGGTAAGTCATTCTCCCTTTATAATTATGGAGATCCTCTGGTATTAGAATGCATTTATTACAGTAATTAAATTGTGGTCCGTTCTAATATTGAGAAAGTGAAAGTGTTAGCTCCTACATTGTTATTCTTTTTTGCCTTTGTTTACTCAGAAT